ATATATTATATATATATATGTCATAACATATGTATATAACCTATATAGGCCTATATATATATATCTGTCACTGACCGGGTGTCCCGCTGCTGTCACCGCGTGTGTTTGCAGGATACGGCAGGACAGGAGAGGTATAGGACAATCACGACTGCATACTACCGGGGCGCCATGGGCTTCCTGCTGATGTATGACGTCACGAACGAGGACTCGTTCAACAGCGTCATGGACTGGTGCGATGAAGATAACGATAATAATAATAATAATAATAATAATAATAACGATGATAATAATAATAATAATAATAATAATAATAATAATAATAACGATGATGATAACGATAATAATAATAATAATAACGATGATGATAACGATAATAATAATAATAATAATAATAACCATGAAGATAACGATAACAGTAATACTAATAATAATAATAATAATAATAACGATGATAATAATAATAACAACAACAATGATAATAATAATAATAANCTCTCTCTCATTCTCCTCTCTCTCTCTCTCTCGCTCTTTTATTCTTTCCTCTCCTCTCCTCTCCTCTCCTCTCCTCTCCTCTCCTCTTCTCTCCTCTCCTCTCCTCTCCTCTCCTCTTCTCTCCTCTCCTCTCCTCTCCTCTCCTCTCCCTTTCCTCTCCTCTCCTCTCCTTTCCTCTCCTCTTCTCTCCTCTTCTCTCCTCTCTTTTCCTCTCCTTTCCTTTCCTCTCCTCTTCTTTCCTCTCATCTCCTCTCTAGCTATATTTACATATGCGGGTTTCCTTCCTTTTCCTGTGCAGGAATAGAATTCTTTGAGACGTCGGCGAAGGAGAACGTGAACGTGAAGCAGGTCTTCGAGCGCCTCGTCGATATCATCTGCGAGAAGATGACGGAGAGTCTTGACTCGGACCCTACGATCGTCAGTGCGGCGAAGGGCACGCGCCTCACCGAGAACCCAATCCCACAGACCTCGAGCTGCCAATGCTAACTGCGCCATCTATAGCAAAGAAAAACAAGCTTTAGCAAAATGTGCCGCGCGAGCGCGCGTCGTCGCCGTCGTCACTTTGTTGTTTTTATTTTTTGGTTCGCGCGGAGGAATGGTGGTTGGGTGGTTGTTGTTTACGCGTAGACGCGGATAGGGAGATGTCTACGCCTGTACGTGGATGGAAATGATCTAGATAGACGTTGATAGAGAGGAGTCTGTGTTTGTACGTAGATGGGAATTATCAAGATATAGACGTTGATAGAGAGGTGTCTGTGTTTGTACGAAGATGGAAATGATCAAGATATAGACGTGGATAGGGATGTGTCTACGTCTGTACGAAGATGGATATGATCTAGGCATATACGTTGATAGGGAGGTGTCTGTGTTTGTACGTAGATGGGAATTATCAAGATATAGACGTTGATAGGGAGGTATCTACGTTTGTACGTAGATGGAAATGATCAAGATAGACGTTGATAGGGAGGTGTCTACGTTTGTACGAAGATGGATATGATCAAGATAGACGTTGATAGGGAGGTGTCTGTGTTTGTACGAAGATGGAAATGATCAAGATATACGTTGATAGGGATGTGTCTGTGTTTGTACGAAGATGGAAATGATCAAGATAGACGTTGATAGGGCGGTGTCTACGTTTGTACGAAGATGGATATGATCAAGATAGACGTTGATAGGGCGGTGTCTATGTTTGTACGTAGATGGGAATTATCAAGATATAGACGTTGATAGAGAGGTGTCTGTGTTTGTACGTCGATTGGAATTATCAAGATATAGACGTTGATAGGAAGGTATCTACGTTTATACGTAGATGGAAATGATCAAGATAGACGTTGATAGGGAGGTGTCTACGTTTGTACGAAGATGGATATGATCAAGATAGACGTTGATAGGGAGGTGTCTGTGTTTGTACGAAGATGGAAATGAACAATATAGACGTGGATAGGGAGGTGTCTACGTTTGTACGAAGATGGATATGATCAAGATAGACGTCGGTGAAAGTTATCTACGTGGGCGAGTTAGCTACGGCTGGTGTTAGCCTGCGTCTATGATATGCCCCACCCTCCCTCCCCACCTCTCGCTTCAATCGCTGGCCCTCCATACACAGCATGGCACAGGCGGAAGAACTAGAGAGCTCGCTGCGCGTATGATTTGTTTTGTTTTTATTTTGTTTTGTTTTGTTTATTTATTTTTCGCGCGTACTTAGATTGGGAGAATATCAATAATTGATTGATTGATTGATTGATTGAATGATTGATTGCTTGTTATCCGCGTCTGTTGTTTGCCCCCCCCCCTCATTTCACTGCGTTACCGCGCTGTTTGTGGCGTGGGGACGTGTGGGGAGGTGGTAAAGAAAAGTGACAACGTAAGGCACCTAGCTCTAGAAGCAGCTGTTAAACACCCCCAGCATCGTTTCCTCGAAGAGTGTCGTGTGAGATGGAGAGGCGAGCAACGTTGTGGACAGCGACAACTGAAGCATGCACGCATGCGCTGTACGGAGTGCGACGAGACGGCGATGGCGCCATCTCTTGGCGAGATTGTAAATTTTGGCAAGATTGTAAATTTTTTGGTGAAATCGCGTGTTGTGCGTGTGCCGGCAACCCGCTTTACTTAATTTACTATGCGTATCATCACCGGTGCTGCTGCTGCTTGTGCTGCTGCTGCTGCTGCTGCTGCTTCTTCTTCTTATGCAATATGTTCGAGCTCCCGCGTGTGTTCGTGCGTGTGTGTTGTGAAAATTGACGTGTCAGGTATTAACGTTGTTTGACCGAATCAATCAAGATGGGAAAAGTTCATCGCTTTCCTCCCTAGTACCTCACGCGCACGCACGCACGCACGCACGCACGCACACACGTCAGGTAGATGTCTTACTATCAGAAGTAGATAATAGGGAATTTTCCCTATTATCTACTTCTGTTAGTATGAAATCCATTCTACAGATGCGATACGATTGAGTGGCTCGCTGGGAAAATGTCTTTATTCCCCGTGATATCGGTTGGTGAGGATGCACTCGTGATGATTACCTGGAACGATTATTACAATCTCTATTAATATATTCTGATTTCGCAGGGGATGTAATTTTGTTTATACGGTTCGCTTTGCTAGCACAATGACTGTGCCGGTGGATATCGCGCTTTCGGGTCGAGATCCGCGCGCCACCTGTTGGGATTTACTTTCAACTGTGACAGTGGGAGTTCAGATGACGTGGGTTTTTCTCGGAGAATTATTTATTGTAATATTATCGAACGATGCGTTCGCCCGTATGTCTATACATTACACGTGAGCCACACACACCTACGCTCGCTCGCACGCACGCACGCACGCACGCACGCACGCACGCACGCACACGCACGCACGTACGCGCACGCACGCACAAACACACAAACACACAAACATATTCAACTCGTATATGCACAACACTAACACATAACTAATCACGTTATCCGAACATTCCCCCCTTCCCCGTATATATATATATATATATATATATATATATATATATATATATATATATATATAGTACGTACCGTACCGTCCGACTACTAACGTACGAACGTACGTAGTAGTACTA